TTCTGACGGTTGCCGAGTCCCCGGGGGGGTCAAGTGATCCCCTTCTGTGACCTTCTCACAAGCGAAGTCAATGGAGCTAGCTTCACTTAACGGCCATGTTGCTCACTTAACCACTGCCATGATTCTGGGGCAAGGAAGGTCATAAAATGGAGCAAAACTCACTTAACGACGGTCGGCCTTGCTTAGCAATGAAAATTCTGGATTCAAATATAAATCGTAAGTCAAGGACATTTGGAAACACAAGAGGAGCAGCATTCTGATTGTCGGAAGCGGCATATCCCCGTCTGGATAAAAACCTGCTGGAGAAATTCTAGGATTTATCATATAATGATAATGATAATGATAATGATAATGATAATGATGATAATAATAATAATAATAATAATAATAATAATAATAATAATAATAATAATAAGAAGAAGAAGAAGAAGAAGAAGAAGAAGAAGAAGAAGAAGAAGAAGAAGAAGAAGAAGAAGAAGAAGAAGAAGAAGAAAGTTGGAAGGGATCTTGGAGGTCATCTAGTCCAACCCCCTGCTCAGGCAGGAAACCCCATACCAGGGGTCTTCAAACTTGGCTCTTTGATGACTTGTGGACTTCAACTCCCAGAATTCAGCGTGCCTGGCTGAGGAATTCTGGGAGTTGAAGTCCACAAGTCATCAAAGGGCCAAGTTTGAAGACCCCTGGCCTAGACCATTTCAGACAAATGGCTGTCCAGTCATTAAACCAGCATAATCCTTTGTACTCCAGGCAGCCTCTCTTATTGTTTACCCCAGGATAGTGTTTCTCAACTTGAGCAACTTTTGAGCTGTGCTGGCTGGGGAATTCTGGGAGTTGAAGTCCACCCAGCTCAAAGCCGCCCAGGTGGAGAATCGCTGAAGGCAGGAAGGCAGTTAAGAGGGATCCAAATTCTTTTGTGGTCTCCATTCCTTCCTCAATTCGGCATTTGCAAAAGGAGCGCTTCTCCTCAATGAGATACAGCAGCTTTAATCTTCTCAAAAGCAGGGAGATTGCTTAGACCAGAGGCCCCCAAACCTTTTGGGCACCAGGGACCGGTTCCGTGGAGAGAGGTTTTTCCACGGACCGGAGGGTGCGTGGTTTTGTGTGCTGCCTGCATCCCACGGATGGGGCTTTGCTTGTTTGTGTGGACTGGTTGCTGGCGTGCCGCAGCCCGGTACCGGTCCACGGACCGGGGGGTTGGGAACCCCTGGCTTAAACCACCCGGTGCCACCTAAGAAAGTATCTTCTCTGCCTTACAATCCTTGGAGGTGCAAGTGTCATTGATCAATTAATTACCAAACATTAATGTTAAAGTACGTTATCGTCAAGGCCATGGTTTTCCCAGTTGCAATGTATAGCTGTTTCGTGTCTGGTGTGGAGTTTCCTATATCTGTCGCCCTGCCTATTTAACTCAGATGCAGAGCCCATCATGAGAAAGGCAGGGCTAGAGCAGGGCTTTTCAACCTTTTCACCCATTGTACCACTTTTAGGATATGGCAACATCCGAGTACCACCAGTCGCCTAGCAAGGTGTCAAAAACTTGATGACCAAAAAAAAAGGAAAAAAGTGATAAAGTACAGGTAGTCCTCGACTTACAACAGTTCGCTTAGTGACTGTTCGGAGTCACAATGGCACTGAAAAAAGGCCCCCCCAAGGCACAGCCGAGCAAAACACCTGCCTGCCCACCCGGCGGCGCTCTTCCTCCTGTCCGAGGTTTTCATTGTTGTGAGCATTTCTGTTGAGGATTGGCAGTGGGGGTGGGGTGGGGGGTGTTTGGTTTTTATTCCCCCCGTCTGCTGGGTGGTTGCAGCAGGTTTTGGTCACTTCACATGACCCTGGGACACTGGGACCGTCATAAATAGGAATCAGTTGCCAAGCCTCTGAATGTAAATCACAAGACCCTGGAGAGGCTGCAACATTCCAGCTGATCGGCGCTTCTTCTGGGCTCAGCAGAAGCACCAGGATCAGTGCTGCTTTCCAGCTGATCAGCGCTTCTTCGGGGCTCAGCAGAAGCATCAGGATCAGCGCCGAGCTCCAGCTGGAGCCTGGCGCTGATCCTGGCGCTTCCACTGAGCCCTGACAGCCCTGCAGCTCCAGCCGTCTCTCGCTCAGGCTTGTGCGGTGCTGCCACCGGTTCAGCTCATTCCCCTCCCCCGCTACCCCTTTTCTAGGATGGTCGCGTACCCCCTGCCAGGTGCCAATGTACCACAGGTGGTACCCGTACCACGGGTTGAAAAGCCCTGGGCTAGAGGAATCAAAAGTTGGAATTAAGATTGCTGGGAGAAATATCAACAGCCTAAGATATGCAGATGATGCCACTCTGATGGCAGAAAGTGAAGAGGAACGAAAGACCCCCTTGATGTGGGTGAAGAAGGAGAGTGCAAAAGTTGGCTTGAAACTCAACATTTAAGAAAACCAACATCACGGCATCCGGCCCTCTCAATTCCTGGCAAATAGATGGGGAAGAAATAGAGGTAGTGATAGATTTTATCTTCCTGGGCTCCAAGATCACCACAGATGGGGACTGCAGCCAAGAAATTAAAAGACGCTTGCTCCTGGGGAGGAAAGCCATGGCAAATCTAGGCAGCATACAGTACCTAAAAGCAGAGACGTCACCCTGCCAACAAAAGTGCGTATCGTCAAGGCCATGGTTTTCCCAGTTGCAATGTACGGCTGTGTAAGTTGGATCACAAGAAAGGCTGAGCGCCAAAGAATGGATGCCTTTGAACTCTGGTGCTGGAGAAGACTCCTGCGAGTCCCCTGGACTGCAAGGCGATCCAACCGGTCAGTCCTAGAGGAGATCAACCCCGACTGCTCTTTAGAAAGCCAGATCTTGAAGTTGAAACTCAAGTCCTTGGGCCACCGAATGAGAAGGGAGGACTCACTGGAGAAGAGCCTGATGCTGGGAAAGATGGAGGGCAAGAGAAGAAGGGGAGGACAGAGAAGGAGGTGGCTGGAGGGAGTCACTGAAGCAGGAGGCGTGAGCTTCAATGGACTCCAGAAGATGGTAGAGGACAGGAAGGCCTGGAGGAACGTTGTCCATGGGGTCGCGATGGGTCGGACACGACTTCGCCACTAACAACCCAATTCAGCAAAGCCTCCCATTTTACTTCTGCCTTCTGCAACCAGACGTAACTTCCCCACGATCAAATGAACCACGCCTTGAAAATCAGAATCGTGGCAGATATTCCAAAAACATCTACAAGGCGCATGGGGGACAACAGAGCATTTATTTACATTTGGGCTCAAACAGGACAGTAAAAATACAGCGTGGCTGGAGCAGATCCCGTGGGGCAGGGGAAAATGACCCACTCAGATCAAACCAAAAAGTTCACCCCCAAGGAGTCCCTCGGCCCAACCTCGGTCCTGGCTGATGGGACCTCGGTGTGGTAAGCGAGGAGGTAGCCAAGAGTGGATAGCCAGTCTTTGGGCCTTGGGAGAAGAGACCCTTCATCCCTCCAGGAAGGGCAAAAACTGGGGAGGGGGCCGAGGAAGGGAAGGGGCTGTTAAAACAGAGGTCATAACTGGTGAGAAATGCATGTTGACCTCTTTTTTAAGATACATTCACAGATAAATGGGAAGCGTTTTCTTCCACGTGGCACACGTCGGTTTCCCCATCAGGTCCAAAATAATGGAATTATTTTTTATTTTTTAAAACCCTCAGATGAAAACACTGTGAACTGCTCTAGGGTTGGGGTTTTTTGGGATGTGTGTGTGTGTGTGGGGGGGAAATCTCATTGCAACTTGTGTTTTTTCTTCAGCGGTCTTAAAAACAAACAAACCAAAATAAACCCATTTTCTGTTTGCACAGAAATTTAAAAAAAAAAGGAAAAACCCAAGGAGTGCCTTTAGTGGGTTTTTTTTTTCTCCAGCAATTCGATTTTGGGGTGATTTTTGCAAACCCCTCCAGCATAAGCCAGTTTTCCAAATTGATTCCCCCCCCCCACACACACACACCAGTCAGCATCAGGATAAGAATTGGCGGTCCTGTGAATTAATCAACCCCCCCAGGTCGCGTTCCAAATACGGCGTTTGCACAGCGGACCGATAAAAGAGACAGGACCGAATCTCTTGGTTTCTAAGGACCGAGCTGAACAGGGGAAGGACGGAGGTCTGCTCACTAGAGTGCGGTGCAGGGGAGAGGAGCATGGGTGTACAAATACCTGGAGAACCGATGGCAGCGATTCCGCAATGCAGAGCTGGCCCCAAGTCCTTCCCTCGTTCCCCCATTGCTAGAGTCTCTTTCTGAGCCACGGATTCCTTGGCACACGAACACGGCAAAAATTGCTGATCTGCGGCAAAAATTGCTGATCTGTTGGGTTGTGGGTTTTTTTGGCTCAGGGTCTCTCATAATCCAGAAGTTTTTTTTGTGTGTGTGTGGGGGGTAGGGGGGAAAGGTCCCAAAAATTTTCCCCAGAACGGCGGCGTCCTCCTCCAATTTGCTGACCTGTTCGGAGCCACAGTCCCGCCATACTTTATCGTTCCTCCTGTTAAAAGTCGAGCTGCCGTCGCCGTCGTCTCTACCCAACTTTTCGGCACGAAAGAGAGCGAGACGGGCCGGCGAGAAGATTACGACGGTTTGAAAGCCCCTTCTGGAAAAATTGCACTTTTTTATCTCGCTCGGAAATAAGCACGTCCGCAGCTCCGGATTGAGAGAGTGGCTGAAAGCCGGTTAATCCGAAGAAGGTCAGCAAACCAAGTTTTTAGGCGTCCTCCAGGCACGGCAGCACCCACCGTCTTCTCCCCAGCAAAAGGCGACGGGAGAATCTCTCCTCCTGAACTCCGGAGTGACCGCTGCCATCGTGGGTGACCGGTCGAAAAATAGACAAGAGGAATATTCGTCGAAAGGGATGGACTGGCGTGTTTTTTTTCTTCTTAAAAATCCCTTAGATCCAGAATAGCGTAGAATTGAAAGGTAAAGAATCCATACACCCTTCCCACGGATATTGTGCCAAAAATTACATTCCGAGAGTTGAACTTTGTTTTTTTTTTAATTATTATTATTGTTATTGTTATTATTTCCTGCGTCCTGCTCCCAAAGGATTTTGCTGTCCTCGGGAGAAACAGGAAATATAAGTTCCCCGTTTTCCTTCCTAGGAAAAAAAAAACCCCAAAAGCCTGGTGGTGGCTCGGTGGTTCGTCCGGGTGTGCCGGCACCTTCAGTCTATTTTCACCGCGGCGTAAATTTTGCGGACAAACATGTAGGCTGCATAGAAGCCGATGGTCCCGGTCAGGAGCCAGAAGGACAGCACCATGAGGGCAGTGTAGCCGAAATACAACAGGGAAGGGATGAATTCCACAATGTCCAGCTGGAAGAGAAGAAAAATGGAGTTAGGGGAGGGGAAATTAAGGGGAGGGGGGAGAGCTGAACCCCATCACTCCCCTTCAGGGAGGCAAGGAAGGACCAGGGAGGACATGATAGCAGCCTTCTAGTATCTCAGGGGTTGCCCCAAAGAAGAGGGAGTCAAGCTATTCTCCAAAGCGTCTGAAGGCAGGACAAGAAGCAACAGATGGAAACTAATCGAGGAGGGAAGCAACCTGGAACTAAGGAGAAATTTCCTAACAATTAACCAGTGGAACTACTTGCCTCCAGAAGTTGTGGGTGCTCCATCACTGGAGGTCTTCAAGAAGAGATTGGACAGCCATTTGTCCAGAATTGTATAGGGTCTCCTGCTTGAGCAGGGGGTTGGACTAGAACAGGGGTCACCAACTACCGGGCTGTGGCTTATTAGCCACTGGGCCACGTGAATTGCTGGCTGGTGTGGGTGCGTGTGTGGGCATGGGGGGGGGACGCCACGAGCGTGGGCATTTGCGTCCCCACTCGCGCGAGCATCGCCACGAGCATTGCGGGCGTTCATGTCCCCACACAGGCGAGTGCTCAGGGTCCCTCTTGCACGAACAATGCGTGTTCGTGCGTGCATACAGATGTACGCATGCGTTCACCTCCAGTAAAACCATCCTTTCTTTCCCACCTCTCCCCACTCCGGACCGCCAACCCTGAAAGTTCGGGGAACTTGGACTAGAAGACCTCCAAGGTCCCTTCCAGCTGTTATTCTGATGTCCTCAGCAATGTTCTCCACCTTGAAGGTGACCTCCCATTGATATTTATTGATATCAGGTAACTGTCAACGCTGCTACCATCGGATGTTCTTGCTTTGACGACATATGGAGATGCAGCCATTTTCCTTCTTATGTTTTACTCTTAGAATTAGAGTTAGAATTAGATGATACTGGGAGGAGGGAGGAGGAGGAATGTGCGTGGGAGTTTAGTTAGACATAACAATAGTGTAACTAGGGTGAGAACCAAGGTTTTTTGGAATAAGAGATTATAAGAAATGGCAGGGCTGGAGAACTGGAGGGAAGGCCTGCATTTCAAGCTAATCGGAGAATGTGATTTATGACTGTTAATTGGAGGAGGGAATTGTGCTTTGATACTATGTGCTCAGGGGAGGGGAATTCAGATTTTGGCTTTGATTGCGTTATGCTCCTCGAATAAAGATTAAGGTAAACAATGCCTCCAACGTCTTTGAAGAGTTTCATCTGTCGGAACCATGACAATAATGCTCTCCTCAGCTTGTACGGAGAGTTCTCAATTTATGACCAGTACCAAACTTCAAAGTTACAACAGAACTCCCCCCAAAAGGAAGTTATGACCCAGATTCAAAGTGCCGACATCCACCCCCTCCCGCAGTCAGGCAATTGCATTTCAGGTGCTCGGCAACGACCTGCATTTACAACTGTTTGCGGCATCCTGTGTTACGTGATCACAATTTACAATGGTTTGTTGTTGTTTTTGCCAGAAACTGATGTTTAGTTCCAGTTCCGGCTAAAAATGCCCATGATGGACAATAGGTTCACTTAACGACGATGAGTTCGCTTTACAACCGTTGCCTTCGGTTTATAACTGCCGCAAAAAGAGTGGTAATCTCGAGCACAGGGGTGTGGTGACCCGCTTAACAACCGGCATGACTTAGGACTTAATGCTAGGCTCAGATACAGTCGTAAGTCGAGGACTTATCTGTAAAGGGAGAGCAGACTGACCCGTGCACGCTGTGAACAGTCTGGGAGAGAGAAACGGGCCGTTCTGAATTGGGTAAAGAATAAAGGAATAAAAATATAACACAATAATCAAATAAATAAAACAAAATAATAAAACAAAATATTAAAATAATAAAATAAAACAAATTAAAATACTAAAACAATATAAATAAAATAAAAATACTAAAATAAAATAAATAAAATAATAAAATAAAATACTAAAATAAAATATATCAAATTAAAATTAAAAGAAAAGAAATAAAAGAAAATAAATAAAATAAAAATACTAAAATAAAATAATAAATTAAAATAATAAATTAAAATGCTAAAATAAAACAAAATAAAAATAAAAATAATAAATTAAAATACTAAACTAAAATACTAAACTAAAATAATAAATTAAAATACCAAAATAAAATAAACTAAAATACTAAAATAAAATAATAAACTAAAATACTAAAATAAAATAGATAAAATAAAAATAAAATTAAAACAATAAAAGAAAAATAAATAAAATAAAAATAAAAATAAAAATGAGTACCTTATTCACGAAGTAGAAGACGGCGTAGATCAGCACGTAGAAGGCGGATCCTCCGGAGACCAGGAAGGTCCTCCACCACCACCGATAATCCTGCCAAAATCAGCAGACCCACCTTGGATTACCTCCAGTTACAACCGTTCATTTAGTGACCGTTCAAAGTTAAAAAGGCACTGAAAAAAGGGACCGGCAACCGGTCCTCGCTGTTACGACCATTGCAGCATCCCCATAATGGGTCACATGATCAAAATTCGGGCACTTGGCAACTGGCATGTACCTAGGACGGTTGCAGTGTCCCTGGGTCACGTGATCACCGTCTGTGACTTTCCTGGATGGCTTCCAACAACCAAAACCAATAGGCAAAGCCAGATTCACATAATGATCTCATAGTTCACTTAACGACTGCAGTGATTCACTTAAGAACGGTGGCAAAGAAAGGTCGTTAGAGCCCTGGTGGCGCCATGGTTAGAAGGCAGGATTGCAGGGTGACTCTGCCCACAGCCGGGAATTCGATCCTGATCGGCTCAAGGTCAACTCAGCCTTCCATCCTTCCGAGGTCAGTAAAATGGGGACCCAGATTGTTGGGGGCAAATAAGGCTGACTCTATAAGCCGCTTAGAGAGGGCTGTAAAAGAACTGTGAAGCGGTAGATAAGTCTAAGGGCTCTTGCTATAAAACGAGGCGCAAGAGCATTTAGCCTTATACATCGCCCCGTGGCGCTTTACAGTGTGGTTTACAAGGACAGCATTCTTGGCATGTTGCCCCCCAACCATCTGGGTCCTCATTTTACCAAACTGGGAAGGATGGAGGAAGGCTGAGTCAACCTTGAGCCGGTGAGAATCGAACTGCTGGCAGCTGGCAGAGTTAACCTGCAATGTGGCATTCTAACTACGTCGCTGTCCAACATCCCCAACCTCAGAGAGCACCAAGGACCCCACAGTTATCTTCTTCCTCCTTCTCCTCCTCCCTTCTAGCACTGATGATGTTCCCTAGTCGGGTCACGAAACATCTGCAAGAAAACCACCCAGCTCAGAGAGCACCAGGGACCCCACGTTTCAACCCCTGAGCTACCAATATTCCCTTCTACTGGGTCTCCCACTGCCACGGTAAATACTTTCTCTCCGACTTCCTTCTCTGGGTCCCGATCCCTACACCTAGCTCTGCAGGACACAGACCCCTTCCCTGCACCTCGAAGGCCTGGGATTCTGGATCCGTGGCAGACCTGGGTTCCCCAATCCTGCGACACCCGCCCCTTGTCCCCCCTCTTACCTCAGCACAGAGCTGGAAGTACACCATGACGATGCTGATCTGGGAACAGGAGACCACCAGGATGATGAACACCAGGAATAAGAAGCCAAAGAGGTAGTAGAACTGATTCTCCCAGATGGCCTGGATCGAAAGAAGACCCGCAGATACTCAGGATCTTGGTTAGAACCTTTAAAACCCTTCAGAAAACTATCTCACCCCCTTGGATGGAAGGATTTATACTCCTTGCAGACAGCTGGTCCTTTGCACCCTTTTAGAGAGTCGTTGAGGCCACCTGGAGGTTCACCTGTGTCCTCATTGTTTGTCCCAAAGGTGCTTTTCCACGAGGCGACTGGACTGTTTTTCTTTGAAGAGGTTTCGCTCCACATCCCAGAAGCTTCCTCAGGTTCTCACTGAATGGTGGGGAATGGAAGGATTTATACTCCTTGCAGACAGCTGGTCATTTGCCTTTTTTTAAAAAAGAGAGTCGTTGAGGCCACCTGGAGGTTTATTTGTGCTCTCAGGGTCACCCGAGTAGTGCAAATGGGGGTGGAGTCTTCTTGGAATTAGGGGTCCAAGAGGCCCTCCCTCAACAGGGAGGGAGGAACACAACATCATCTATCTCCAGTCTACCACACAGTCCTTTCAGGAAGGCTCCACGCCCATTTGCACTGCTCAGGTGAGCCTGAGGACACAGGTAAGCCTCCAGGTGGCCTCAACGACTGTCTAAAACAGGGGTGTCAAACTCAATTTCATTGAGGGCCGCATCAGCACTGTGGTTGCCCTCGGGGGTGTGTGTGTGTGGCCAGGGTGTGTGTGGCCTACTGGGTGGGCGTGAATGGAGTGGGTGTGACCTACTGGGTGGGCGTGGCCAGCTCTACATCGTTCGCGTCAAGGGTGCCTGTGGGGGTCTGGGCAGGAGTGGGACAGATCTGAGGGTCTCTGGCAGAAAGGGGTGGGACCAGGGCAAGCGCCAAGGCATGGTCCACTGGAGGAGCCTGCCGAACCCCCTCCCCCAAAGCCCATCAAGCCAGATATGTGAAGTAGGCAAGGGCCATTTGCTGGCCACTTCCAGGCGATGGTGCATTTCTTCATTCCTCACAAAGGGGGACACACCCCCAGCATGCACCTGGGGGGGGGCGATGCGGCAGGGGCTGGTTCCTCGCTGTTTCCAGATGGTCTTGTGGAGCTAAGACTGAATGTGTTTCAGCATAGATGGCCACCACGAAATTGTACATTGGCTCCCGGCCGGCCTGTGCCAGGGCCAAGGCAACGGGGGCCGTTCCCTCACTTGTTTCCAGGATGGCTTCGCGGGTCATGAAACCACTTCACGGGCCCCATCCGGCCCCTGGGCCTTGTGTTTGACATGTCTGGTCTAAAAGGATGCAAATGATCGGCTGTCTGCAAGGAGTATAAATCCTTCCCTTCCCCACCATCCAGTCAGAACCTGAAGAAGCTTCTTGGAAGAGGAGAGAAACGTCTTCAAAGAAAAACAAGACAGTCCAATTGCCTCCTGAAAAAGCCCCTTTGGAACAACCCTGACCTGGATAATGGAGAATCCCCCTAGACATCTCATCCCTTTGTCCCACTTTAGTAGGAGGAGCTTGCTGAGGACCCAGTTGGCCAAGGAATTCCGGGAGGGTCTTTTCTGCCGTGGCCCCTGCCCTCTGGAGCACGGTGCCCCTCAAGGTGAGATCCACACAGACCCTCATCCTGGCTCTTCTGATTGGCAGGGGCAGGCAATCTTGGCTCTTTTATGACCCGTGGACTTCAACTCCCAGAATTCCTGAGCCAGCCATGCTGAGGGGAAAGGGAGAGGTTTCCAAGCTGAGCCATGCTGGCTCAGGAATTCTGGGAGTTGAAGTCCACAAGTCATGAGGGGGCCATAGTTCCCCCATGCTGGCTCAGGAATTCTGGGAGTTGAAGTCCACGAGTCATGAGGGGGCCATAGTTCCCCCATGCTGGCTGAGGAATTCTGGGAGTTGAAGTCCAGGAGTCATGAGGGGGCCATANAACTTTTCGGCACGAAAGAGAGCGAGACGGGCCGGCGAGAAGATTACGACGGTTTGAAAGCCCCTTCTGGAAAAATTGCACTTTTTTATCTCGCTCGGAAATAAGCACGTCCGCAGCTCCGGATTGAGAGAGTGGCTGAAAGCCGGTTAATCCGAAGAAGGTCAGCAAACCAAGTTTTTAGGCGTCCTCCAGGCACGGCGGCACCCACCGTCTTCAACTCCGGAGTGACCGCTGCCATTGTGGGTGACCGGTCGAAAAATAGACAGAGGAATATTCGTCGAAAGGGATGGACTGGCATTTTTTTTCTTCTTAAAAATCCCTTTGATCCAGAATAGCGTAGAATTGAAAGGTAAAGAATCCATACACCCTTCCCGCCTTGAGGTTCCCCGATTCCACGGATATTGTGCCAAGAATTACATTCCGAGAGTTGAACTTTGTTTTTTTTTTTAATTATTATTATTGTTATTGTTATTATTTCCTGCGTCCTGCTCCCAAAGGATTTTGCTGTCCTCGGGAGAAACAGGAAATATAAGTTCCCCGTTTTCCTTCCTAGGAAAAACAAACAAACCCAAAAGCCTGGTGGTGGCTCGGTGGTTCGTCCGGGTGTGCCGGCACCTTCAGTCTATTTTCACCGCGGCGTAAATTTTGCGGACAAACATGTAGGCTGCATAGAAGCCGATGGTCCCGGTCAGGAGCCAGAAGGACAGCACCATGAGGGCAGTGTAGCCGAAATACAACAGGGAAGGGATGAATTCCACAATGTCCAGCTAGAAGAGAAGAAAAATGGAGTTAGGGGAGGGGAAATTAAGGGGAGGGGGGAGAGCTGAACCCCATCACTCCCCTTCAGGGAGGCAAGGAAGGACCAGGGAGGACATGAGAGCAGCCTTCTAGTATCTCAGGGGTTGCCCCAAAGAAGAGGGAGTCAAGCTATTCTCTAAAGCCCCTGAAGGCAGGACAAGAAGCAACGGATGGAAACTAACCAAGGAGAGAAGCAACCTAGAACTAAGGAGAAATTTCCTAACAGTGAGGACAATTAATCAGTGGAACTACTTGTCTCTAGACGTTGTGGGTGCTCCATCACTGGAGGTCTTCAAGAAGAGACTGGACAGCCATTTGTCCAGAATTGTATAGGGTTTCCTGCTTCAACAGGGGGTTGGACTAGAACAGGGGTCACCAACCTGTGGGCCGTGGCCACTACTGGGCCGTGGCCTATTAGCCACCGGGCCGCATTAATGGCTGGCAAGTGTGGGAGCGTGTGTGGGCATTGCGTCCCCACTCGTGCGTCGCCACACGATAGGTTCCCTTAACAACGGTGAGTTCACTTTATGACCATTGCCTTCAGTTTATAACTGCTGCAAAAACGGTGGTAATCTCGAGCGCAGTGGTGTAGTATCCTGCTTAACAACCAGCATGACTTAGGTCAGTGGTGGCGAATCGATGGCACGGGTGCCAGAGGTGGCACTCAGAGCCCTCTCTGTGGGCACGCGCGCCGTCGCCCCAGTCCTAGGCCTTCAGCTGGGTTTTATAAAACCTTTTCGCTTGAGGCCTCCGCCGTCGTGTGCAAAAAAAAAAAAAGGTTCAATCAGTCAATTTCAACTTCTCGCAGGAAAAAAAAGATCTCACAAAGTTGGAATGGATTGATTGAACTTTTTAGTCCCACCCAGTCTGCCATTACCACCGTAGCCACACCCACCCAATGGGCAACGCCTACCCAATGGGCCACGCCCCTCCGGCACCCGACCAGTTATTTTATTAAAATAAATAATAAAATAAAATAAAAATACTAAAATAAAATACTAAAATAGAATTATAAATTAAAATAAAAAGAATAAAAATATTAAAATACAATAAATAAAATAAAAATAAAAATACTAAAATAAAAAATAAAAATAAAAATACTAAAATAAAAATACTAAAATAAAATAAAAATAAAAATGAAATAAAATAAAATACTAAAATAAAATAAATACTAAAACAAAATAAAATAAAATAAAAATGCTAAAATAAAATAAATAATAAAATAAAATAATAAATTAAAATACTAAAATAAAATAGATAAAATTTAAAAAAAAATAAGTACCTTATTCACGAAGTAGAAGACTGCGTAGATCAGCACATAGAAGGCGGATCCTCCGGAGACCAGGAATGTCCTCCACCACCACCGATAATCCTGCCAAAATCAGCAGACCCACCTTGGATTACCTCCAGTTACAACCGTTCATTTAGTGACCGTTCAAAGTTAAAAAGGCACTGAAAAAAGGGACCGGCAACCGGTCCTCGCTGTTACGACCACTGCAGCATCCCCATAATGGGTCACATGATCAAAATTCGGGCACTTGGCAACTGGCATGTACCTAGGACGGTTGCAGTGTCCCTGGGTCACGTGATCACCGTCTGTGACTTTCCTGGATGGCTTCCAACAACCAAAACCAATAGGCAAAGCCAGATTCACATAATGATCTCATAGTTCACTTAACGACTGCAGTGATTCACTTAAGAACGGTGGCAAAGAAAGGTCGTTAGAGCCCTGGTGGCGCCATGGTTAGAAGGCAGGATTGCAGGGTGACTCTGCCCACAGCCGGGAGTTCGATCCTGACCGGCTCAAGGTCAACTCAGCCTTCCATCCTTCCGAGGTCAGTAAAATGGGGACCCAGATTGTTGGGGGCAAATAAGGCTGACTCTATAAGCCGCTTAGAGAGGGCTGTAAAAGAACTGTGAAGCGGTAGATAAGTCTAAGGGCTCTTGCTATAAAACGAGGCGCAAAAGCATTTAGCCTTATACATCGCCCCGTGGCGCTTTACAGCGTGGTTTACAAGGACAGCATTCTTGGCATGTTGCCCCCCAACCATCTGGGTCCTCATTTTAATGAACTGGGAAGGATGGAGGAAGGCTGAGTCAACCTTGAGCCAGTGAGAATCGAACTGCTGGCAGCCGGCAGAGTTAACCTGCAATGTGGCATTCTAACTACGTCGCTGTCCAACATCCCCAACCTCAGAGAGCACCAAGGACCCCACAGTTATCTTCTTCCTCCTCCTCCTCCTCCTAGCACTGATGATGTTCCCTAGTCGGGTCACGAAACGTCTGCAAGAAAACCACCCAGCTCAGGGAGCACCAAGGAGCCCACAGTCCTCCCCCCCTCTCCCTCCTCCTCCTGCTCTTCCCTACAAACTCCACTCCCTTCTAGCACTGATGATGTTGCCTAGTCGGGTCACGAAACGTCTGCAAGAAAACCACCCAGCTCAGAGAGCACCCAGGACGCCACGTTTCAACCCCTGAGCTACCAATATTCCCTTGTACTGGGTCTCCCACTGCAACGGTAAATACTTTCTCTCCGACTTCCTTCTCTGGGTCCCGATCCCTACACCTAGCTCTGCAGGACACAGACCCCTTCCCTGCACCTCGAAGGCCTGGGATTCTGGATCCGTGGCAGACCTGGGTTCCCCAACCCTGCGACACCCGCCCCTTGTCCCCCCTCTTACCTCAGCACAGAGCTGGAAGTACACCATGACGATGCTGATCTGGGAACAGGAGACCACCAGGATGATGAACACCAGGAATAAGAAGCCAAAGAGGTAGTAGAACTGATTCTCCCAGATGGCCTGGATCGAAGGAAGGATCTTGGTTAGGACTTTTAAAACCCTTCAGGAACTATCTCACCCCCTTGGAGGGAAGGATTTATACTCCTTGCAGACAGCTGGTCCTTTGCACCTTTTTAGAGAGTCTTTGAGGCCACCTGGAGGTTCACCTGTTGTCCTCAGTTTGTCCCAAAGGGGCTTTTCCACGAGGCAACTAGACTGTTTTTCTTTGAAGAGGTTTCGCTCCACATCCCAGAAGCTTCCTCAGGTTCTGACTGGATGGTGGGGAAGGGAAGGATTTATACTCCTTGCAGACAGCTGGTCTTTTGCCTTCTTTTTTTTTAAAGAGAGTCGTTGAGGCCACCTGGAGGTTTATCTGTGCCCTCAGGGTCACCTGAGTGGTGCAAATGGGGGTGGAGCCTTCTTGGAACTAGGGGTCCAAGAGGCCATCTAGGTCAAAATTGAACAGCCCTCCCTCCAGTCTACAACACGGTCCTTCCAGGAAGGCTCCACGCCCATTTGCACCGCTCAACGACTCTCTAAAATAATGCAAATGACCAGCTGTCTGCAAGGAGTATAAATCCTTCCCTTCCCCACCATCCAGTCAGAACCGGAAGAAGCTTCTGGGATGAGAAGTGAAATGTCTTCCAAAAAAAAGAGTCCAGTTGCCTCGTGAAAGAGCACTTTGGGACAACTGAGGACACAGGTGAACTTCCAGGTGGCCTCAACGGCCCTCTAAAAGATTGCAAATGACCAGCTGTCTGCAAGGAGTATAAATCCTTCCCTTCCCCACCATCCAGTCAGAACTTGAAGAAGCTTCTTGGAAGAGGAGAGAAACGTCTTCAAAGACAAACAAGAAAGTCCAGTTGTCTCCTGAAAAAGCCCCTTTGGAACAATCCTGACCAGGATAATGGAGAATCCCCCTAGACATCTCATCCATTTGTCCCACTTTAGTAGGAGGAGCTTGCTGAGGACCCAGTTGGCCAAGGAATTTTGGGAGGGTCTTTTCTGCCGTGGCCCCTGCCCTCTGGAGCACGATGCCCCTCGAGGTGAGATCCACACAGACCCTCATCCTGGCTCTTCTGATTGGCAGGGGTAGGCCACCTGGGCTCTTTTATGACTTGTGGACTTCAACTCCCAGAATTCCTGAGCCAGCCATGCTGAGGGGAAAGGGAGAGGTTTCCAAGCTGAGCCATGCTGGCTCAGGAATTCTGGGAGTTGAAGTCCATGAGTCATAAAAGAGCCAAGGTTGCCTACCCCTGTCCTAGGGTCCTGATGGGCCAGTTCCACGCTGGAGGGAGTCAGTGGGTTAAACACAACTCACCATCATCCCGTTGTAGGCTAATTTTATTAATTTTAATGCGAATACAGGTAGTCCTCGACTTACGACGGCTCATTGAACGGCCACCCAACATTCCAACGGCACTGAAAAAAGTGACTTGCTACTGTTTCTCACTTACGACCGTTGCAGCGTTCCCCCCTCCCCCCGGGGTCACGTGATCAAAATTCGGCCGCTTGGCAACCGGCTCGTATTTATGACGGTTTGCAGCGTCCCCGGTGTGTGTTTGTGTGTGTGTGTGTCACGTGATCCCCCTTATGCGACCGTCTGAGCAGCAAAGTCAACGAGGGAAGCCAGATTCGCTTAACGACCGTGTCACCCGCTTAACAACTACTACAAATTGCTTAACGGTGACAAGGAAGGTCGTAAAACGGGGCCAAATTCACAGACGTCTCGCTTAGCAATGCCAACGTGGTCGTAAGACGAGCACTGCCTATCCTTCGTTGTTTTGTATTTTATTTTATTTTTTAAATCCGGCTGGAAGCCGCCCCGAGTCTCTTCACAGCGAGACGGTCAGCGTAGAAATTTAACAACGATTTGCTAACTGGAATAGAGAAGGACTTGTATAGGATGCTTCCCCAAGTGGAAGGTGTGATAGGAAGCACCACACTGGGTTGTGAGTTCTCGGTCTGGGCNGCAAAAGCGGCTGGGGGCCGGAGGGTGGGTGGGTGGGGAGCACAAGACTTACGCTGAAAATGAAGAAAAGTTCAATAAACATGGCTCCAAAAGGCAGAATTCCAGCCATCAGGATCCTAGGAAGGGAGGGAGGGAGGAGAAAGAGTTAGGATGGAAGCCCGTGATCTTGTTCAAACGGATCGTTAAAAAACAGCTTAAACAAAACCAATAAAATAAAAGGTTATTATCTCTGCTTAAATAAATAAAACTGCTATTTATTATCCTCTGTTTAAATCTGGGGTCTTCAAACTTGGCCCTTGGATGACTTGTGGACTTCAGCTCCCAGAATTCCTCAGCCAGCCTGGCTCAGCTTGGAAACCTCTCCCTTTCCGGCTGGCTCAGGAATTCTGGGAGTTGAAGTCCAAGTTTGAAGTCCAAGGGCCAAGTTTGAAGACCCCTGGTTGAAATAAATAAATAAACTCTGATTTTATTATCCTCGGTTTAAAACACACACAAGGCTTTTCTGAACTCAGATCAGCACCCAGCTAGGTAGAGTCAGTAATATTTTCTGCTCTGCTGATTCGTTATTATTATTGTTAATTATTTGATTTTTTTTTTATTCTGCCTTTTGAAGTATGACTCAAGGCGGCAAGCGTATCTAATACTCCTTCCTCCTCCTGTTTTCCCCACAATGACAACCCTGTGAGGTGGGCTGGGCCGAGAGAGAGGGAGTGGCCCAAAGTCACCAAGCCGGCTTTCATGCCTAAGGCGGGACTAGAACTCCCGTCTCCTGATAATTGGCCCAATCAACCAGCCAGCTTTTATTTCTAAGGTAGAATTAGAACTCACAGCCTCCTGGTGAATGGCCCAAAGTCACCCAGTGGGCTTTCCTGGCTAAGGCGGGACTAGAACTCACCGTCTCCTGGTGACTGGCCCAAAGTCACCCAGCCAGCTTTCCTGGCTAAGGCGGGACTAGAACTCACCATCTCCTGGTGACTGGCCCAAAGTCACCTAGCTGGCTTTCATGCCTAAGGTGGGACTAGAACTCACCGTCTCCTGATGATTGGTCCAAAATCACCCAGCCGGCTTTCCTGGCTAAGGCAGGACTAGAACTCACCGTCTCCTGGTGATGGGCCCAAAGTCACCCAGCCGACTTTCAAGCCTAAGGCAGGACTAGAACTCACCGTCCCCTGGTGATTGGCCCAGCCAGCTTTTGTGCCTAAGCTGGAACTAGAACTCACAGCCTCCTGGTCCCTAGGCCATCCCTTTCACCACTACCCCAAGCTGGCTCTGTTATGATAGCTACTTTAGTTCCTATCCCCGACTAGCGACGAGGTCGGCCCGGAAGACTCACCCCACAAACCGGTTCATGTACCACCTCTGCTCCGGGATCTGCCTTGGGATCTGATTGGTCCGCACGGGATTGTCGTAGGGCTGCTTGCGGAAGCCGAAGTAGTAGCCCAGGTACACCAGGGGCAAGGAAATCCCGAACCACATGCAGAGCAGCGCCACCATGGTGGGGAACGGGACCTGGAAGTGAGAGCCGGATCCTCAGACCAGGGGTCTTCAAATTTGGCCCTTTGATGACTTGTGGACTTCAACTCCCCGAATTCCTCAGCCAGTGTGAGGGAACTATGATCCTTTCATGACTTGTGGACTTCAACTCCCAGAATTCCTCAGCCAGTGTGAGGGAACTATGATCCTTTCATGACTTGTGGACTTCAACTCCCAGAATTCCTCAGCCAGGCAAGTGTGCCTGGCTGAGGAACTCTGGGAGTTGAAGTCCACCAGTCATAAAAGGGCCAAGTCTGAAGCCCCCCTGCTATAGAAAATATAAGGCAAGTATGAGTATTTTGAAGAAACCTTGAAGGAACATTCTGGAAAAAAAGAGTAGATAGAGGCCTAGTTCAGATTTTTGTGGGCTGCTTTGTGGCTCTGTGGCTGGAAGAGAGGTAATTATCACTAAATGTAGAACAAGGGTAAGATTTCTGCTTCCCCCCCCCCTCATAAAGAATGTAATACAGGCATGCCTGGTTGAGGAATTCTGGAAGTTGAAGTCCACTCCTCTTAAAGTCTATAGCAGGGGTCTTCAACTTTGGCCCTTTTATGACTCGTGGACTTCAACTCCCAGAATTCCTGAGCCAGCCATGCTGAGGGGAAAGGCAGAGGTTTCCAAGCTGAGCCATGCTGGCTCAGGAATTCTGGGAGTTGAAGTCCACAAGTCGTAAAAGAACCAAGGTGGCCTACCACTGGCCTATATAATCGTATAATCACCTACCATCAATTCCCAGCACCCATAATTGCCTCCAATCTGCTCCCAGTTTCACTTTTAATCATATAATCATAGACAATCAATTCCCATTATTGCCTATACCAGGGGTAAGCAACCTTGGCTGTTTTATGACTGGTGGACCTCAACTCCCAGAATTCCTGAGCCAGCCATGCTGAGGGGAAAGAGAGGTTTCCAAGCTGAGCCATGCTGGCTCAGGAATTCTGGGAATTGAAGTCCACCAATCATAAAAGAGCCCAGGTTGCCTACCCCTGGGTTAGGAGAACAAACCCATCAGGACCAGATTCAGCAGTTCATCTGCATTTAAGAGACAAAGGCCGCTCTTTTGAAGACAGCAAAGGCCGCTCTTTTGGGCAGAGAGGACCACTGGTTTGAAAGGGGCCCAAGAGGTCATCTAGCTCACAGGTCCCCAACCTTTTGGGCACCAGGGACCGGTTCCGTGGAGAGAGGTTTTGCCACGGACCGGAAGCAGCGTGGTTTTGTGTGCTGCCTGCATCTCACGGATGGGGCTTTGCTTGTTTGTGCGGACCGGTTGCTGGCATGCCGTGGCCCGGTACCGGGGCGTTGGGGACCCCTGATCTAGATCAAAATTAAATGGCCCTCCCTCAACAGAGGGGGAAGGATACAACATCATCTATCTCCGGTCTACAACACAGTCCTTTCCACGGTTCCAAGAAGGCTCCACACCCATTTGCACCACTCAGGTGACCCTGAGGACACAGGTAAACCTGCAAGTAGCCTCAAGGACTCTCAGAGAGTACAAATGACCAGCTGTCTGCAAGGAGCATCAATCCTTCCCTTCCCCACCATTCAGTTGGAACTGAAGAAGCTTCTGGGATGAGAAGTGAAACGTCCTCAAGGAAAAATGAGAAAGTCCAGTGGCCTCCTGAGAAAAGCACCGTTGAGGTTTCTCTCTCAGACCCACATCACGGAGAGGAGTAAGCCACAGGTGGTAGCAAGGAGAGACCTACCGCCCCCGAGGAGTGTTTGCCCCAGATGAAACAATTCAGGATGAAGCATATGCCAAAGACGACCCCGGGATACAGCATGGCGGTCTGCGAGGGAAAGGATAAACCAAGGTTAGCGGGCTCCAGGTGCAGAGATCTTCTGGTGCCACCCCTGTTTGTGTGCCAGGCAGCCAAAGGGCTCTGGTTCTTCTTTCCCCAATGCTTAAGTCAGCGTGAAGAATGGGGCATGGACAGGTAGTCCTAGCTCAGGGGTAGGCAACCTGGGCTCTTTTATGACTGGTGGACGTCAACTCTCACAATTCCTGAGCCAGCCATGCTGAGGGGAAAGGGAGAGGTTTCCAAGCTGAGCCGTGCTGGCTCAGGAATTCTGGGAGTTGAAGTCCACGAGTCATGAGGGGGGCCATAGTTCCCCCATGCTGGCTCAGGAATTCTGGGAGTTGAAGTCCACAAGTCATCAAAGGGCCAAGGCTGCCTACCCCTGCCCAAATGCCTGAATTTTGATCATGTGACCATGAGGAAAAAATATTTAAATATTTAAACCGGAGGTCTTCAAACTTGGCCCTTTGATGACTTGTGGACTTCAACTCCCAGAATTCCTGAGCCAGCATGGGGGAACTATGGCTCCCTTGATGACTCGTGGACTTCAACTCCCAGAATTCCTGAGCCAGCATGGGGGAACTATGGCTCCCTTGATGACTCGTGGACTTCAACTCCCAGAATTCCTGAGCCAGCCTGGCTCAGCTTGGAAACCTCTCCCTTTCCCCTCAGCATGGCTGGCTCAGGAATTCTGGGAGTTGAAGTCCACGAATCATGAGGGGGCCATAGTTCCCCCCTGCTGGCTCAGGAATTCTGGGAGTTGAAGTTCACCAGTCATAAAAGAGCCAAGGTTGCCTATCCCTGTCCTAGACTTACAACACACAATTTAGCCCAGACGTTTTGTTGCTAAACAAGACAATTAAGTGAGTTTTTCTCCAGTTTATGATCTTTCCTGCACATTTATTAAGTGAATTACTGCAGTTGTTAAATGAGTAACACCCTACTAGCCCTGATGACGTTACCTAGTTGGGCCATGAAACGTCTGCAAGAAAATCACCCAGCTCAGACAGCACCACGGACCCCTCAGTCCTCCTCCTCCTCCTCCTCTCCTCCTCAACCTCCACTCCCTTCTAGCACTGTTGATGTCACCTAGTTGGGTCATGAAACGTCTACAAGAAAACCACCAAGCTCAGAGAGCATCAAGGACCCCCACAGTCCCCCCCCTCCTCCTCCCTTCTAGCACTGATGATGTTGCCTATTTGGGCCATGAAACGTCCGTAAGAAAACCATCCAGCTCAGAGAGCACCAAGGACCTTTCAGTCCTCCTCCTCCTCCCTACTAGCCCTGATGACGTTGCCTAGTTGGGCCATGAAACGTCTGCAACAAAACCACTCAGTTCAACCCGAGCTGGAAATATTCTTTTCCATTGAAGCCTGTTTTCTGTTTGGGTTGAAATAATCTTAAAACTCCCGTCGCTTGCAACAAGCTTTCCCCAAGGGATTTCCTTTCCCCGTTCCGGCCCCAGTTAGGGCCCACTTTTTGGTCCTGACCGAGAGCCCCCTCCCCAAAAAACCCTTCCCCCTCCCCACCCAGAGGCAGCAGCTCCACTCACACAGAAGGCGCCTTTCTTCCACCGATGCCCTTTGAGGGTGCGGTACAAACGGCCAGCCGAGAAGCCCCCGAAGACCCTGTGTGCGCCGGGCAGGGGAGAGAAGAGAGAGCAGGGTTACTCCCCTCCCTTTCCAGACCCCTCACCCCCGGGAGGAGGGGCGCCCAGGCAGCAACTGCACTTACTCACCCCATGAACATGAAGAGGAAGCAGGCGGTGGTCATCAGAGCCCCCCGGCTGGAGGGAGACAGCATCCCCAGCATGGCCACAACTGGAAAGCAAGAGGGAAGCGTCGGGGTTTTAAAAAAAGGCCGCTGTTCTCGGGGGTCGCACGAAGCCGCTGGCGGGCCAGGATCCGTTTCTCTGGGAGGTGTTCTTTTTCCCCAACCCCCACCCCCACCCCAGCTGCAATTCAAACCCTGCATTTGAATTGATGTTGAGATATGGAGACTCTAGAAAGAGGGCAGAGAAGAGCAACAAAGAGGATCAGGGGACTGGAGGCTAAAACATATAAGGAACGACTGCTGGAATTGGGAATGTCTAGTTTAAGGAAGAGAAGGACGAGGGGGGACAGGATAGCAGTCTTCCAATATCTCAGGGGCTGGATTAGTAAAGAGGAAGAGAAGGGAGAAGAGGGAGAATGAGAAGGGAGATGGAAATGGAGAAGAATGTGTAGAGAAGAGGAAGAGTAGAGAGGAGGAAGAGGAACATAAGTAGACAGGAGGAGGAGGAGGAGGAGTAGAGGAGAAGGAGGAAGATAAGTAGACAGGAGGAGGAGGATAAGTAGAGGAGAAGGGGGAGGATAAGGAGGAGGATGAGTAGAGGATAAGTAGAGAGGAGGAGGGTAAGTAGAGAAGAAGAGGATAAGTAGAGAAGAAGGAGGATGATAAATAGAGAGGAGGAGGATAAGTAGAGGAGAAGGAGGAGGGTAAGTAGAGAAGAGGAGAAGTAGAGAGGAAGAGGAGGAGAAGTAGAGTAGGAGAAGAAGAGGAAGATAAGTAGAGAGGAGGATAAGTAGAGAAAAAGAGGATAAGTAGAGAGATTAAGTAGAGGAGAAGGAGGAGAAGTAGAGAGGAAGAGGAGGAGGAGTACAGAAGATAAGTAGAGGAGAAGGAATAGGGTAAGTAGACAATAAGTACAGGAGGATAAGTAGAGAAGGAGGATGATAAGTAGAGAGGAAGAGGAGAAGTAGAGGAGGAGTAGAAAAGGAAGAAGTAGAAAAGTAGAGAAGAAGAGGAGAAATAGAGAAGGAGGATGATAAGTAGAGAAGAGGAGGAGGATAAGTAGAGAGGAGGATAAGGAGGAGGAGAGGAGAAGTAGAGGAGGAGAGAGGAAGGGCACAGAGGAGCATCATGCTTGCCTTTTGGAAGCAGCGCTGGGGTCCCCTGGGACCACAGAGACCAGGCAGGACCTCCCGAACAAGCAGGTGGCCGCGTGGCCGGAGGAGTCGGGAGCTGCCATTTTGTGCCACTGGGAGAGGCTGGGAAACAAGACCGGCGGGCGGGGGGGGACTAAGTGCCCGGCCCTGCCCGGGTTTTGAGGTCCCCCGGCCTCTCCACACGGCAAAACGCTCGGCCCTGCCGGGCTGTACTCACAAATCACAATCAGGATCATGCAGAAGAGCTGGATGCCGGAGCCCAGCAGGGAGCTGAGGATCATGGGATACTGTGGAGGCCGAAAGACGTCCCCGTGCACCAGCTTCCACCCGGATTCCTCCATGGTGTCTTCCTGCAGCGGGCGAAGAGGGCCGCACGATCAGCCGGCAGCCTGTGACAAACCTCCCCTTTTTACACCCCCCCCCCACAAGTACACACACAGACAACCAAGTCATGGTTGTCCCAGAGGTGCTTTTTCCCCCAAAGGCAATTGGACTTTCTTGTTTGTTTGTTTGTTTGTTTTCTTTTCTTTTGGAAACGTTTCGCTTCTCCTCCCAAGAAGCTTCTTCAGTTCTGACTGACTCCAGGGGAATGGCAGGATTTAATAAAGGAATGAATAAATGAATGAATGGACAAACAAATACAGTCCCCTGACTTATAACAGTTCATTTAGTCACTGTTTGAAGTTACAACGGCACTGAAAAAAGTGACTTAGGACCTGAGGAATTCTGGGAGTTGAAGTCCACCAGTCATGAAAGGGCCCAGTTTGAAGACCCCCTGGTTTAGGACTACATACCTGTATTACATTCTTTATGAGGGGGAAAAAAGCAGAAATCTTACCCTTGTTCTACATTTAGTGATAATTACCTCTCTTCCAGCCGCAGAGCCACAAAGCAGCACACAAAAATCTGAACTAGGCCTCTATCTACTCTTTTTTTCCAGAATGTTCCTTCAAGATTTCCTCAAAATACTCATACCTGCCTTACATATTCTATAGCAGGGGGTTGTCAAACTTGGCCCTTTTATGACTGGTGGACTTCAATTCCCAGAATTCCTCAGCCAGCCACGCCTAGACCAGTGTTTCTCAAACCTCCTTAAAATGGGTGGACTTCAACTCCCAGAATTCCCCCCTCGGATCCATGTTTCTCAACCTCAGCCACTTGAAGCACGCTGGCTAAAGAATTCTGGGAGTTGAAGTCCAAAGTCATGAAAGGGCCAAGTTTGAAGACCCCTCCCTGGTTTAGGACTACATACCTGTATTACACTTTTTATGAGGGGGGAAAAAAGCAGAAATCTTACCCTTGTTCTACATGTAGTGATAATTACCTCTCTTCCAGCCGCGGAGCCACAAAGCAGCCCACAAAAATCTGAACTAGGCCTCTATCTACTCTTTTTTTCCAGAATGTTCCTTCAAGATTTCCTCACAATACTCATACCTGCCTTACATATTCTATAGCAGGGATCTTCAGACTCGGCCCTTTGATGACTGGTGGACTTCAACTCCCAGAATTCCTCAGCCCAGGCATGCTGGCTGAGGAATTCTGGGAGTTGAAGTCCACCAGTCATCAAAAGGCCAAGTTTGAAGACCCCTGCCCGTGACTTTTCCAAACACATAAACAAAACCAGCAAAAGCCAGCTATTGCCTACAACAGGGGTCTTCCAACTTGGCCCTTTGATGACTGGTGGACTTCAACTCCCAGAATTCCTCAGCCAGTTGAAGTCCACCAGTCATCAAAGGGCCAAGTTGGAAGACCCCTGATTTAGAGGTTTAAGGTCTGGCAGGTGGCTCTAAACAAGTGTTTCTCAACCTTGGCAACTTTACGATGTGTGGATTTCAACTCCCAGAATTCTCCAGCTAGCGTTGCTAGCTGGAGAATTCTGGGAGTTGAAGTCCACACATCGTAAAGTTGCCAAGGTTGGGAAACACTGCGTCTAAACCCAAATCAGGAAGCAGGAAAATTCTTCAGCTGTTGCCTCCAGGAGCTTCTCTAAGCGGCAAAAGATGCCTCCATCCGTTGCCAGGTCTCCCCCCCAAACCAGAACTGCAGACCCCAGAGACGGAGAGCCCCATCCCTGCCGGAGAGCCAGCTGAACGTACAATGTCGTCTTCCTTGTTGTAGTTGGCGATGTCTTTCCGGAGGGTCCGGATGATAATCATGCTGAGGATGCCTGCAAAAGAGAAAACCAGGAGGAAGTAGGTCTGCGCCCCATCCGAGACTCTCCAGGAGGGGAGATCCTGGGTGGGGGGGGCAGGCCTTCTGCAGCTTCACAGGCGATCCTGAAGCGCCACTGCCGGTGCTCACAACTGAGAGAGGTCATTAAACGGGTATGCCGCCCCACCTTGTCGTCAGGGGGCTCTACGCAGATCAGAAGAGAAAAAGAACACTATAAAACCATTTAATCTTAACTTTAAAAATAAAATGTGCCACAGGAGGAGGAGGAGGAGGAGGAGGAGGAGGAGGAGGAGGAGGAGGAAAACCTGGGGTCCTTGGTGTTCTCTGAGCTGGGTGGTTTTCTTGCAGATGTTTCATTACCCAACTAGGTAACATCATCAGTGCTAGAAGGGAAGTGAGTTTTTGGAGAGGAGGAGGGGGAGGAGTGGGGAGGAGGAGGAGGAGAACCTAGGGTCCTTGGTGCTCTCTGAGCTGGGTGGTTTTCTTGCAGACGTTTCATTGCCCAACTAGGTAACATCATCAGTGCTAGAATGGAGGTGAGTGTGTGGAGAGATGGAGGAGGAGGAGGACTGAGGGGTCCGTGGTGCTCTCTGAGCTGGGTGGTTTTCTTGCAGACATTTCATTACCCAACTAGGTAACATCATCAGTGCTAGAAGGGAGGTGAGTGTGTGGAGAGATGGAGGAGGAGGACGACAACTATGGAGTCCTTGATGCTCTTGGTGGTTTTCTTGCAGATGTTTCATTACCCAATTAGGTAACATCATCAGTGCTAGAAGGGAGATGAGTGTGTGGAGAGGAGGAGGAGGACAATGACAACGATGACTATGTAGTCCCTGGTGCTCTCTGAGATGGATTTCTTGCAGACGTTTCATTACCCAACTAGGTAACATCATCAGGGCCAGCAACCAGCTCAAAGACCACCAAGGACCCCACAGTTCAACCCTGAGCTACTGATATTCTATCAGTAAACATTAACATATGAAGACAATAAACATTTAAGCTGAACGAAGATGGCTAAGGAAGGGAGCGATACACCAGGCGGTGGAGGCAGAATCCCCTCTCAAGCTATTAACCACCTCCAGGAGGGAACATCATCAATGAAGTAATTGATTAATTAATTGGCTTTCATCTCTTATGAGTGAAAGGAAAACGCTCTGCCATCCAAACAGATGCCTCCTGCATCTCAGGAGCTGCTGTTTTGAGGTATCCGCCTTCCTGTTTTTTTCAGCACATGGGTGTTCCCCAACAGCGGAGGAAACAATTTACTCCTACGTAAACCACTAGTTTCCTCACTGCACTGCGCAATGTTTGGCTCCTTCGTTGGCTTAATGAAAGATCCCCAGGCTTTCAAATGCTCTCAGTCTCCAACCTTGGCAACTTTAAGACAGGTGGACTTCAATTCCCAGAATTCCCCAGCCAGGGAGTTGAAGTCCACAAGTCTTAAAAATTGCCAAGGTCGGAGACCCCTGGTCTAAGAGAAGGCTGACTGGGGAATTCTGGGAGTTGAAGTCCACAAGTCTTAAATGTTGCCGAGATTGGAGACCCCTGGTCTGGCTGAAGAATTCTGGAATTTGAAATCCACAAGTCTTAAAAGTTGCTAGGATTGGAGATACCTGTCTTAGACAATGGCCTACACGCAGGGGTAGGCAACCTTGGCTCTTTTATGACTGGTGGACTTCAACTCCCAGAATTCCTGAGCCAGCCATGCTGAGGGGAAAGGCAGAGGTTTCCAAGCTGAACCATGCTGGCTCAGGAATTCTGGGAGTTGAAGTCCACGAGTCATGAGGGGGCCATAGTTCCCCCATGCTGGCTCAGGAATTCTGGGAGTTGAAGTCCACGAGTCATAAAAGAGCCAAGGTTGCCTACCCATGGCCTATCCTGTCTCAGGTAGTTTGTTTTGGGCAGGTAACAGACCTGCTAAAGCCTATAAAATGGGCCCTGCCCAGCCAAATAAATAATGACAAAGCAACAAAAAGGAAGGTAAACTGATCTGCGGTTCCAACTCCTGAACCCCTCCCTCCCGCCTTTAAATTAACCTTCAGTCTGGTTTTTTTATTCAATTTTGCCTTTTTTTGAATTCTAAATTTTATATACGTGTTAATATTTTATTTGCACGCTGTCCAGAGTCACTCTGTGAAGGAGACAGATCGTTTTCAAAATTTGATCAGCCATTTGTCTGAAATGGTATAGGGTTTCCTGCCTGAGCAGGGGGTTGGACTAGATGACCTCCAAGGTCCCTTCCAACTTTATTATTATTATTATTATGAATCATCAGAGATGATAAGTGGACTGGAGGCTACAACATATAAGGAATGGTTGCTGGAATTGGGTATGTCTAGTTTAACGAAGAGAAGGACGAGGGGGGAGATGATAGCAGTCTTCCAGTATCTCAGGGGCTGCCCCAAAGAAGAGGGAGTCAAGCTATTCTCCAAAGCGCCTGAAGGCAGGACAAGAAGCAACGGGTGGAAGCTAACCAAAGAGAGAAGCAACCTAGAACTAAGGAGAAACTTCCTGACAGTTAGAACAATTAACCAGTGGAACAACCTGCCTCCAGAAGCGGTGAATGCGCCAACACTGGAAGTTTTTAAGAAGAAACTGGACAGCCATTTGTCCGAAATGGTATAGGGTTTCCTGCCTGAGCAGGAGGTTGTACTAGATGACCTCCAAGGTCCCTTCCAACTTTATTATTATTATTATTATTATTATTATTATTATTATTATTATTATTATTATTATTATTATTATTATTATTATTAATCGATCAATAAATAAGATGAAAGGACGGTGGGAAGAGGAAGGGAAAGGCCCCGGAGCTGAACTGGAGGCTTCTGAGCTTGGCTTCCCCCCCCCAAAATTAGCTATTGTTCTTGCTCCGAATTATATCGGTTTAATTTTACTTTTGGCTCTTTTAAAAATATCTCGTAAACATCCTGACTCCGGAAGCTGTGGGTGCTCCATCACTGGAAGTGTTTAAGAAGAGATTGGACAGCCATTTGTCTGAAATGGATTTCCTGCTTGAGCAGGGGGTTGGACTAGAAGACCTCTAAGGTCCCTTCCAGCTCTTGTTATTCTGCTATTCTGTCCCGTGGAGGTTTTAAAGGGCCGTCTCCACATCCAAAATCCCCCAGCCCTTGCTGGTTTCGAGTGCTTTAGGTTCCCTTCTCACCTGAAAGAAAGAAGACCACCACCACGGAGTTGACGATGGAAAACCAATGGATCTGGACGTCGCTCATGGTGAGGTAAGTGTCCCACCGGGAAGCCCACTTGATGTCACTCTCCTGGAAAACAAAAGGGGATAGGGAGGGAAGGGCTAAAGGCCGGCCGAGCAACTTTTCCTGATTCAGGGATGGCTGCTTTAAGAAGGGCCCTCAAAGCCCCTTTCAGCATCCTTCTCCAAGCCCTAGGGCCGTGGTGGCAAATCTGTGGCACTCAGAGCCTTTTCTGTGGGCACGCGTGCCGTCGCCCCAGTCCTAGGCCTTCAGCTGGGTTTTATAAAACCTTTTCGCTTTAGGCCTCCGCCACCGTGTGCAAAAAAAAAAAAGGTTCAATCAGTCAATTTCAACTTCTCCTGGGGAAAAAAAAGATCTTGCAAAGTTGGAATTGATGGATTGAACTTTTTAGTCCCACCCAGTCTGCCAGTACCACTGCAGCCACGCCCACCCAATGGGCCACACACCCCAATGGGCCACGCCCACCCAATGGGCCACCCCCACCCAATGGGCCACCCCCATCCGGCACCCGACGATGCATAAGTGGGTTTTGGGTTGCAGTTTGGGCACCCGGTCTCTAAAAGGTTCGCCATCACTGCCCTAGGGCCCAGGTGGCACGGCCTCAGGTGTGTGTTTGTTGTATATTTCACCTTTCTGAACTGCCTATCTCCCTCAAAAAAGGGACTTGGAGTGCTGTACAAATACAACAGGGAGTCCTCGACTTACGACTGCAACCGAGCCCAACATTTCTGTTGCTAAGCAAGCCAGGTTCAGTGAGTTTGGACCCATTTTATGACCTTTCTTGCCCCCGTTAAGTGAATCGCTGCCGTTGCTAAGTGAATCGGGCTCCCCCCCCCCTTGACTTTGCTGGTCAGTCAGTCGCAAAAGGAGATCACAGTGACCCCGGGAAGACTGCGACCGTCATAAATAGGAGCCGATTGCCAAGGGTTGACAGCTGGGTGACTTTGGGCCAATCATTGGGAGATGGTGAGTTCTAGTCCCGCCTTAGGCATGGAAGCCGGCTGGGTGACTTTGGGCCAATCATCGGGAGACGGTGAGTTCTAGTCCCACCTTAGGCACGAAGACCAGCTGGGTGACTTTGGGCCAATCACCAGGTGGCTGTGAGTTCTAGTCCTGCCTTAGGAAAGAAAGCTGGCTGGATGACTTTGGGCCCGTCCTTCTCTCTCAGCTCAACTCACCTCACAGGTGGGTTCTTATTGTGGCGAAAATAAGAGGGGGAAGGGGTATTACATATGTT